GGGGCCTGCTACCAGAGTTTATGGTAATTGGTCTGGACTGGGGCTTGAGAATTTATAGTTCTAACAAGGTCACGGGTGCTGCTGTGCAGATCTGGGTTCCCCACTTTGAGAATGACTTCCTTTGGCCAAACGTGACATACATGTTGCAGTGGTTTGGTTTTTACTTTTTCTGACCTGTTTCATATTCTCTCTATGGCATTCTGTTCAATTTTTATCTCACTGTGGAACCCTTCCAAGGACAGACATTAAAGGTATTAGAATAGAAAAGGCAACAAATTACAAGGCAGACTTGTGGTATAATAGTACATCCTGTGAATTATAGAACAAAAACATAACATATACTTTCTGTCTCTGATACTTAATATTTGCCCAGCACATTTTAGCTCATAAAGCTCTAACATCTCAAATAATCTGGTGAGTTAGGACAGTGGTTATCTGCAGAGGGCTTTATTCTTTGCAAGGGCTCTTTGTACGTATGTTATTTCATAAAACCCTTAGAGTAGCTCCAGATACTCAGGAATCTGGGGCTGGGATATACATCTTTGGGTTCCAAGTGTGGTGCTGTGCACAGTACGTTCTGCCTCCTCTTCCTTCCTAGCTCTCACCTCACCAAAGACTCCTCTATTCATTTCCACTGTTGCTGATCTATTTTCCCACATCTTACCTCCCTAGGATGTCAAAGTAAATGCAAAACAAGCAATAGCAATCTCTACTTAATGATTTCTGAAGGGCAAATTTAAATGGCAGATTTTATGTGGTACTGTTGTTACATTCCAAAAGTAGGAGTCCTGTTAGTGCATGTTAGAGGATCCATAGCATGAAATCGCTGTGCCTGGTACTACATGAAAACAATGAAGATTCCTACTCCACTGGACATTGGTTCTTGGACTTTAAGATAATAGAAATCCTTTTATTAAGCCAAAAGACCCTATGTATTCTTTCTTCTCTCCCTGCCTTGCAGGGGTGTGGGATTTGGGAAGCTTTGTCTGGATAAATATTCCTTATTGTAGTTGCATTAAATTACTTGATATCTGTTTTTATGCTTATTAAAGTTGATTCAAATGCTCAAAAGAAAATGATTTTTTTTTTGAATGCCCAGTCTTGTATGACTTGCATTTGGATTATTCCCAGGACAGCATGAAGATTCCTTGTGATGAGTTATGGTTCCATTGCTTTGGGAACTGCTTAATTATTCTGCTTTATTCACAATCCAAACACTAAATTTTTCCCCTGTTTATTCATTTATCCAGCACACTATTTGCTGGGAAAATGAATGGATATGGATTAAAATGACATGGTATCTACTCTTCCAGAAACAGACTTTAAAAAACTTCAATGTTGGGCTCAGCACCTGTGGCTCAATCGGCTAAGGCACCAGCCACATACACCTAAGGTAGCGGGTTCGAATCCCCAGCCTGGGCGCACCAAACAACAATGATGGCTGCAACCAAAAAATGGCCGGCGCTGTGGCGGGTGCCTATAGTCCCTGCTACTTGGGAGGCTGAGGCAGGAGACTCGCTTGAGCCCAGGAGTTGGAGGTTGCTGTGAGCTGTGAGGCCATGGCACTCCCCCCAGGGGGAATAGCTTGAGGCTCCGTCTCAAAAAAAAAAAAAAAAAACTTGAATGTTTTCTATTTTCATCAGATATGAAGTGAGTACCATGTTATGTTCTGGGTGTCAAGCTGGGTGTGGCAGGTCCCTGATCTCAGTCCAATGAGTTCAAGATTAACAATTTTTACAACACAAAAAATAGATACATATGCATGCTGTGATATGGGGTGGTACCAGTTCCTACAGGAGTGTCATCTGGGAGGACCAGGGAAGACATCCTGTGAAAGGCATGGAGAAAGATATTTCAGAGAACAACATCAATAAAACCCAGTGAGGATGTAGGGAAGGAAAACAGAAGAGTAATTCAAGCATTGGCTTTCAATGGGAGTGGCAGTAATGGGAGAAAAGAGGGGCAGGCAGGGGCCAGATCTAAAAGGTTTTGGGTATCAAGTTTTAAGGAGTTTAAATTAATATCCTAAGAATAATGTGAAGCTATTGGCAGATTTTGTCTGTTAGGGAATTCACCACTCAGACTTAATTTGCCATATGGCAGGTAGAGCTAATGTGGATGGGCCTCCTGCTAATCATTGCCTGTGCTCACCTACATATACTGCTTCCTTGTCTCCCCCATCTCCTGCCATCAAAAACTAATAGTAAGTGTATAAGTTCCAAGAGACAAAGCTAAGTGAGTAAATATAAGCTGGCTTCACCTTGGTCTAAAGAGATTTCAAGCCAAAATAAGGTAGCTGGAGCTTGAGGTTTTATTACCAGTACTCTAGCAAGGAGATGGGACTTGGGGAGTTGATGGGGTGTGGAGGCTGTAGAATCAAACAGCCTGCAAACCTAGAGCCTTGAAGAGCTACCTCCATGAAAATTGGCCTACTGACCCAGAAAATTACAAGGAAGTATGAGGCTTTCCATAACCTGGGGTAGGACAGAAGTCATTCAACAACATAAATTCAAATAATACACTAAAAACATGATTTAGAAACATCTAAGAAATTAATCTAGGAACTAATACAAGATCTTATTGAAACCACTAGCTAATATAAACAAATGAAATTCCATTGAAAGGGGTCACTTTTACAACCTAGGTCTCTGAGGACTCCCCCCTCCAAAAAAAAAAACCCAAATTTCCCTGAAGATGGACATACAATAAAAAATTAAAACCACCTGATAAACTGCCATAAGGAAAGTTAACACGTGATGAAAATTTAGAAATCACAGAGCTAGCCAAAATAGACTGTGAAGGTATGTTGCAAATGATTCAAGGTAATGAAAAAGAATATGAATGAAAAAGAATTTGAGAAAGAATAAAAATAATATACAATCATTGACCATGAAGTCACTGGATGGACAACAACAGATGCAATACAGGTGCTAAGAGTGGAGTGATGACTTTGACGGTGTATCTAAGGTGATCCTGAAGACTGAGAAGGAAGGGGCTCTCAAGCCATACATGAACCTGATCTGGAGGAGGACAGGACCAAGACACCATTTGTGAAACTTAAACCGAGTAATTTATTCAACTTATCAGTGCCTGTTATGTTCTCATACCTTTTAGGGGATGAGGACATGGTCACTTTTTTAAAGGTCCTCTTAATACCTTCTAGTTGGTCATTATGGCTCAACCAGGAGAGTGGAAGTAGAGATAAAGAGATAGATGAATTTGAAAGACATTTTTGAGAAGACAGAGAATTAAGACTGGGTGAATAAATAGTAGAAGCATAATGGAGGAAATGGTTCTTTCTGTTAAATAGGAAGAAAACTTCAGAAAGAAGTTTATGCACTTTATCATAGGTGCTGGAGATTAATGGAAAATTTTCTGACTTCAAGGAGTTTACAGGAAAAATAAACAATAACTATGTAATATGGCAGTTATTATGATAGAGATAAGCCCATTTGCTGTGTCAGCATTAAGGTGATTTCTAACCATGTCTAAAGGTAGGAGAAATGGGATCAAATCAAACATCTCAGAGGACATGAAGCCTGAGCTATGTCTTGAAAGATGAGTAAAGTTTAACCTAACCAAGGATAAAAAATCAGAGGGTTTCTAAAGAGCTTGGTGACTCTTGTGTGCTTTGCAGGCACACTGTGTGTAAGGATTGGAGAGAAAGGCAAAGGGATTAACAAACTGACAGTCAACCTGGCATGTAATACTTAGAAGGTTGTATTTCCCTTAATGAGTCAGGGAAGAGTTATTAAAGGATCTTAAGTAGGGGAAAGACATGACTGGATTTGCCAGATAACTAGTTCTGGTGATACTATGAATGATAACAGACTTGGACAATAACCAATGAAGAGGCAGGTGGCTAGTATTGGAGGCAGTTAACAGTAATCCATGTGACAACTGATAAGGACCTAAACTGTAAATCATAATAATGAAGAAATAGGAACACACCATGCAATGGTTAAGGGAGAAGGACGAGGGGTAGAGAGTATTCCATGTAGAGGAAACTGCTTTCAAGAAAACATGGAGGCTGCAAATGTACCCTGTTGTGGGGAGATCAGCAATGCATTTGTTATACCAGGTGATACGGGGAAAATGGAGGGTATAAGACTGATCTTACATCAAAAACTTATGTTCAAATACTGAATAATATACTTGGAAATAATGTACTATGGAAAGGTAATAATGGATGCCATCACAGTTCTAAGCCCTTCAAGATAGTAACACATATAACTCTCATAGTAAACTTATTAGATACACCATTATTATCTCCATTCAGTAGACAGAGTAACTGGCACAAAGTGAATAAGAACTTGCCTACGGCCTGCTGTGGGGATACTAGTAGGCAACAGAACCATTATTTAAACCCAGGCAGTCTGATGCCAGGACTCACTCTAAACTTCACACACCTCCTTCATGGCTGGTGTTTCTCAGCCATGGATGTACAATAGAACTCCTTATAGCATTTCAAAAAATACAGTTGGCTAAGTTGGCTTAATAAGAATGTCATTTGATACTGTGTTTTGTAAAAGCTCGACAGATAACTGTTATGTTTGCTGAATACTATGGGGATCCCAGTTATGAAGTTATGACATTAGTTCAGTCAGGAGAGGATGACAGCTCCATCTAAAGCAGTCTGTATGAAGGAAGAGGAGTCAACAGATTTAGAAACTTAAGAGATAGAACTGGAGGTATTTCTGAAGTAGAAATGTATTTTCCTATAGGGTATGAACCTTACCTGGGGGCAAGGGGTAGAGGACCATACCTTCAGTTGAGGATTATCCTCTCTCAACTGGATGTGTTTACAACACATTTAAGGCGATAGAGGGAAAGGGGATTGAATCATGTGAAGTGTGTGTGTGTACAGGATTATGAACTAAGAACTGTTACCCTTGTGTACAGTCTCATGCTTATACTCTTGTTTGTCTTTACTTCTCTACTCCAGGTTCCTTGGGAGAAACTCCTCAAGGCGTCCAGGCTGAGACTGGGGGGTAATGACGGTGTGAGCTCTTGATGGTGTGAGACCACCCCAGAGCCAGGAAATGGCTACAGCCTTGGAACCAGAGGACCAGGATCTTTGGGAAGAAGAGGGGATTCTGATGGTAAAACTGGAAGAGGATTTCACCTGTAGGCCAGAGTCAGTCTTACAGAGGGATGACCCTGTGCTGGAAACCTCCCACCAGAACTTCCGATGTTTTCGATACCAGGAAGCAGCAAGCCCTCGAGAGGCTCTAATCAGACTCCGGGAACTTTGTCATCAGTGGTTGAGGCCAGAGAGGCGGACAAAGGAGCAGATCCTTGAGCTGCTTGTGCTAGAACAATTTCTTACTGTCCTCCCTGGAGAACTGCAGAGCTGGGTGCGAGGCCAAAGGCCAGAAAGCGGCGAAGAGGCCGTGACGCTGGTGGAGGGTTTGCAGAGACAGCCCAGGAGACCAAGGCGGTGGGTGAGGAGGGGAGTCCTGATCTGTGTGATGTGGAGGGGGACGATTTGCTGGAAGGCTGGATTGGGGGAAGGTTTATAGGACCCCCATGAATTATTCTTTAAATATAATAGGCTCTGTCCTTGGGCCACTCCTAGGTCTGTGAGCCCTGTGGGTCAGGGGTGTGTGTGTGTGAATGTGACCTCCTGGTTTGGGAAACACCTGCCTCAGGATCATCAGGGGCCTCAGGCACCCAAGGGGTCAGGCTCTGATTTTGTCATCTTTTCATGTTGAGCCTTGGGCTACTGGATAGGAGAATTTGTGACTTCCCCAAAGGTTTTCACAGACACCCCCACCCTTGGTCACAGATCTCCCTTCTAGGATGGTAAGCGAGGGAGGCAGCAAGGATTGCTGCAGGTGGGAGAGATGGAGGTGGAAGGAGGCTGCCTCAGAGCCTGGGTGGCAGGGCAAGGGCTGAGGAGGTAAAGAAGTGGTGGTACCATGTGTCTCCTGCCTTGTCCTGGTGATGATGACCTTCAGCTCCTCTTTGCATGCCCTAATGCTACTGGAGTTTCCCCTCCTCATCTGGGTCCCTCTGGGAGTTTTTCTCTTGGCAATTTCTCCTAAAATAAGCCCTGATAACAACCAAGAATTTACCCCAACTCTATGGTGACTGGAAATTGGAATTATTCCCAGGTGACTGTCCATGTTCATGGCCAAGAGGTCCTATCAGAGGAGACATTGCATCTAGGAGCAGAGCCTGAGTCACCTGCTGAGCTGCAGGATCCTGTGCAGACCTTGACCCCTGAGCAATCCCATGAGGAAGCCACACAGAACCCAGATCTGGGGGTACCAGCACAGCGGAGCCTGGGCCAGGACGAGGAGCTCCAGCTGCTGCAGGAGAGCGGTGGGAAGCCTTGGCAGGAAGTGGGGATGGTGGCAAAGAGAAGAGGCTGGGTAGATGGTAATGGGAAGAAAACCCAGGGTCCAGGATGTCAAGAGATAGTCCCAGCTAGTCTTTATAAACAGGGCCAAGCTAAGATAGTGATATTCTTGGTGGTTCTCTTGGCATTTTAATGGTCTTATAGGTGGTTAGGTTGGGATGACTTAAACTGCCCTCAGGCCAGTTTCTTGATTCCCATAGTAGGTAGGGTAAGGCCACCTTCCTACCAGTGATGATGGGGATGCCGTACTTTTGCTATCAGGTTGCACTACATACCATTGATCTGTGCATTCTTTTCTTCTTAGGGGTTCCAGTGCCCCAGGGCCCAGACCTGCCTTCAGAGAGGAGCTCTGGAGATCCAGAGATGGTTGCTTTCCTTACTGCTCTATCACAGGTACACCCTAGTTCCCTCCCCACAGATCACAGAGAATTTGTTTAAAGAACCATAGTCATTAGCCATGTGCTAAGTAGGTCAGACAGTATGCAAATATATTCTCCTTTTGCTGGTTATAAGTTCTGAGTTCTATGGGTGCCTGGAAGGGGAAGAAGTAATGAGGTTAAGTTATAATAGTCTGTCTGATCTGCAAACTCCAAAGCCTCTTTATTTACCATTGACCAGAAGGACTAAGAAAATGGGATTATTTTCTAACACTCTAATACAACCTTCGAGCTTGTTTTTATAAGATACAAATTTGATCGTATTTGTAAGAATGAATGACTGTACTGCCATGACATTTACAAAGTATTCGTAATGTTCAAAGTCCTGAAACGAAGTTACATGGCTGGATAAAAAGCTATGTAGTTTTAGGCTGTAGTCTGGCTGAGGGGAAAAGTCCTATATTTGCTTTACAGTGTGTTAATGATAAGGTGATTAGAGTCAGTTCCTAGGAAAGATGAAGTTTTACAGAAATGTACTAATACTAAAGCATTAAATAGGAGTTGAATGACGACTTTAAGATCTTTCTTAAAGGGGATGCACAGCTTCCTGGAGAAGGAGTCCAAAAAGCCCATTTAAGTTCCTTTCATCTCTTGCATGTATTCTCTACATATGTATGATAAAACATGAGACATTTTAATTAGATCCTTGTATTTTTTCAGGGACTGGTAACTGTGAAGGATGTGGCCGTATGCTTCTCCCAGGACCAGTGGAGTGATCTGGATCCAACACAGAAGGAATTCTATGGAGAATATGTCTTAGAAGAAGACTGTGGAATTGTGGTCTCTCTATGTAAGGAATTTCAAGTGTTATAGAACATTCTGAGCACAAACACTTTTCCTGCTGGAAATTTGGGGAGCTCTTAGACCTTAGATTGTTTGATTGAACTTCTCTTATGCCTCCCCACCACCAGTGAAATTGAGGGAAATCTTCAGATTAGCTAAAGAAGGTAGTATATCTGTCCAAGTTAAAGAGAAGAGAAAATGCTTGGAAATGGAAACCTCTAAGAAGAAAATAAACTTAGTGTAGAAACATTTGAGATATTTCAGATACATATATGAGTTTTGAAAAAAGTAGTAAGAGTTGGAGATGGCTTAGCACCCATAGCTCAGTGGTTAGAGTGCCAGCCATATATATCAGGGCTAGTGAGTTCAGACCTCGCCCAAGCATGCTTAACAATAATGACAATTAGAACAACAACAAAAAAGCCAGGCATTGTGGTGGGTGCCTGTAGTCCCAACTACTCGGGAGGCTGAGGCAAGAGAATCGCTTGAGCCCAAGAGTTAGAGGTTGCTGTGAGCTATGACGCCATGGCACTCTTACCAAGGGCAACATAGTAAGACTCTGTCTCAAAAAAAATTAGATGATCTGTTTCTTGAATAGGGGAAAAGAGGATAAGGACCACATTGGTGTAATTATTAAGTAGACCAAAGATTTGATCAAATTACCTGGCTATGTATTTCTTCTACATATGTACAACTTACTAAATCAAAAAGATTACTTAACACAAGAAATTGCTGAACAAGTCGTGATCTGTTTCCCTCTCTTATGCAGCATTTCCAATCCCAAGACCTGATGAGATCTCTCAGGTTAGAGAGGAAGAGTCTTGGGTCCCAGATATCCAAGAGCCTCAGGAAACTCAAGAGCCAGAAATTCTGAATTTTACCTATACAGGTGAGGAATGACAGAAGCACTTTCCCCCTGTGAGTGACAGTTCCTCAGGTCAGTGCTTCCCTCTCCCTTGAGGGCCCTTCTTTTATTGGTTCTTCTAACATGTCAGGAGGTACTGCTGCCTCCCTCTGAAAGTCAAGTTCTTCTGTCATTTTCTTCTTTCCTCCTCCCACAATTTGAGAGCTTTGTAATACAAGCTGATGAAAGGAAATAAAGCAACTGAACTTTTACATCTGGAACCATACCATTCACTACACAGCTGTGTAACCCTTACTCAGTCTCTACATCTGTAAAGTGAGAATCATAGTATTTGTCCATACTAAGGCTTGTTGATAGCATAAAACATGAGAAAGTGCCTGGGACATTAACAGGCATGCTGTTTCTATATGGTCTTGCTCTCCCCCAAAACCCTGTTAAGAAATTCTCCTACTGTGCAGAAGGCATTGTTGGCACTGTAATTTTCCCTTTTCTCTTCTCACCCTTTCTACAGGATATCCAAGTGAAGAAGAGGAGTGTGTTGAGCAGGAAAATCCAAATTTGGAGGATATACATAGGCCTATTTTGGGAGATCCAGAAATTCACCAGACTCCAGATTGGGAAATCACCTTTGAAGATAATTCAGGTAGACTTAATGAAAGAAGATTTGGTACAAATATTTCTCAAGTGAATAGTTTAATGAATCTTCAGGAAACCATGCCTGTTCAAACCGTGTTAGGGAAACATCATGACTGTTCTGTTTGTGGAAAAAGCTTCACTTGTAACTCCCACCTTGTTAGGCACCTGAGAACTCACACAGGAGAGAAGCCTTATAAATGTATGGAGTGTGGAAAAAGTTATACACGCAGCTCACATCTCGCCAGACACCAAAAGGTTCATAAGATGAGCACTCCTTATAAATATCCTGTGAATCATAAGAATGTAAATGAGACTTCCCCTGGGATCCAGACTAAGAGAACTGCAACTGTTGAGAAACCCTATAGATGTGATGAGTGTGGAAAACACTTCCGTTGGACTTCAGACCTTGTCAGGCATCAGAGGACACATACAGGAGAAAAACCCTTCTTCTGTACTATTTGTGGCAAAAGCTTCAGCCAGAAATCTGTGCTAACAACACACCAAAGAATCCACCTTGGAGGCAAACCCTACTTGTGTGGAGAGTGTGGGGAGGACTTCACTGACCACAGGCGGTATCTGGCACACCGGAAGACACATGCTGCTGAGGAGCTCTACCTCTGCAGCGAGTGTGGGCGGTGCTTCAACCACAGTGCGGCGTTTGCCAAGCACCTGAGAGGACACGCCTCAGTGAGGCCTTGCCGATGCAACGAATGTGGAAAAAGCTTCAGTCGGAGGGACCATCTCGTCAGGCATCAGAGAACACACACTGGGGAGAAACCATTCACATGCCCTACATGCGGGAAAAGCTTCAGCAGAGGCTATCACTTAATCAGGCATCAGAGGACCCACTCAGGAAAGACCTCCTAGTTAGATCCCTGTGTAAGGAGGTCTGCACTCAGCCCTTCCCTGAGGGAGGTGAGGGATAGGAAGAGCCCTCCTGTCAGCCTGGGAAGGCCTTTTCTAAGGAATTGCCCAGACCTGCCCAGACCTTACGTCAACTCTTCCCACAGCCAAATCAGAGCCCTGGGCAGAACCTCTCAGCCTTCTTCTATGCCTTGAGGAGATGTTTTGCCCAAGTACAAGCTGAATTGAGGCTCCTCCTACATGGGAGTGCTCCTGCCTCTACCTCAGGGGTATGAAGTAGGAGAACTAGAAGACAAGAGGTTATGGTTACTGTATTGTCTAGAAAATAGGCTGTTACACACCATAAAGACTGTTTAACAGCCTCAAGTTTTAAGTGGCCAAGGATAGACCCTTAGGTTAGGTAAGGGACCAGCCCAAAGGATTCTGTCCTCACTGGGCTCAAATCTTAAAGCACACAGCTCTGAACTCAAGACAGTCAAGACAGGAGGTTTGCGTCCTGATGGCTTTGCCACACGTTCACAGGTAACTGTACAAATTCTTTGCTGTCTGATTCACTTCTTACCATGCACTTTCCTTTGATGTTGGGGAGAAGTAGACAAAAACCTCAAGGCTGCTTCATATGGACTTTGTCAAGCTGCTCCCTCCCCCTTTGTCAAAATGTTTATCAGGTGCCAGACACTGCTGGAAAGGAGGCCCTAGTCAGATGCCTCTTTCCTTGTGGGGTTTTTTTCTGTTAAAGTATTCATGCCTTCAGCCTTCCTGCTCTGCAGCCAGTCTCTTGGTTTTGTCCCTAGCACTCCTACAGCAAATGAGATGTAGCAGCTGGGTGCTGAGGGATTCAGTAAAGCATAATTAATCATTTACATTCTCAAGTGTGTTCAAACCCAGCCACCCTGCCTCACCCCCTTTACATGCGTTGTGTCATGAGGGGGGTTTGGAACACTGTCAGCTTACAAAGGCACCATAACAATTACAGAATCGTGATTGACTGGGTCACTTCATTTACATGAAGAAAACCAGAGATTAAAGTACAGAAAGGTAAGAAAAAGCTCCTGCTGCTGGCCAAGACCATGAAGACTATTCTCCTGACATTCAGTCCCCATCACCCCTGCCTCAGTTCTGTTACATCTCAGAAAATAATGAATCCCAGTACCTGGGACACTGAGGAATTTGCCAGGAGTAAATGGCTTTCATGTATTTATCTTGTTTACTTTTTCTTATCTGATTTAATTTTCTTGTAACTGAGAACTAAATAGTACTATCTCATGATGGCCCAAGGATCTCAGTTGCCTGTTAAAGGTTCCATGGAGATGAGACTAAGTACTTAAGTTTCTGCTCTGATTGCAGGAGTGGAAAGGACTGGGGAGATGTCCTTCATGAATGGAGCACAAGGTACAGGGTTAAAGCATGAGAGGGAGACAGCCTTCTGTGCCTGGTTCCTTCTGCTCTTATTCACAATCCACAGTCCATTGTGGGCCAGCATACACCACAGGTTATGGGGGAGTTAACAAGTCTCCAACCCTAACATCCCAACAAGGAAATTTTTATTTTGGTCAAAAATATTCTAATGGACTGGTTTGGTTTTGATAGCAGTCAACCATTGTCCTTCTGGAAATATACACATACAAAGTAAATAAAGGTAATACTTGAAGCCAAGTTCCCTGCTTTCTGGGACTTTTCATCTTACCCACTCCTATTCCAGATGCTTCTGGATCCAGATGCTTCTGGGTCCAGATGCTTCTGAAGGTCATTCACAAAAATAGATCTGGAAGTGCAGACTAGTTTCCATGAGGGTAGGGAAGGCTTGGAAGAGTTAACAGAGCCCCGGGTAGATAAGAGCCAAGCCTGGAGTTTACAGAAAGCTATCCTCAAGTCTAAGCACATTGTCCTGGGTAAAGTGTCACAGCCTGTACTTAGCAATTATTGAAGTTGTTGACGTAGTGGAAGTGACAGAACTTCTGATTTATCTGCATTATTGTTACAATCAGTAAAAACCAGTCCAAAGTATTCTATATAAGAGAAAGTTTAAAAGGAGCTGATCCAGTTTATTGGAACACCAAATGTTCTTCTGTTGCTGATTGCCCTGCCGAGTTTCATATGCAGACAGTAAATCTTTGGTCCCTTTTGTAATTACTGAATTTTCTGAAGTTCCTGGAGGACATCCTGTCTCCCAGATGTGAACACAAACAAAAGCATAGTTTGTAGCAGCAAGAAAGCAGGGCATAGCTGAACGTGGGAGGGGAGGCTAGAGGGCTATGCATCAGGAGGCCCCTCTAGAATCTTGTGGACGGGAATTCTAGTATCACTGAATACTAAATAAAAATTTCTAAGGTAGAAAGGATATTAAAGATATTATTTGGAGGAAGTTCTAGAGCAGTCTAGTGAATTTCACAGAACTACTAAGTTGTTGGAAATTGTGTATTAAGAAAGGTATGAATAAAAATGATCATGGAAAGAGTTGTCTAGGTAGTTTAAGAATCATATTTAGCCTAGTCCCAAGAGAAATAAATGCTAAGAGATAAAGGCAAAATATATTTTTATTATCAGGGACTTAGGCCTCATGTTCCAGAGGAGAATCTAGCAAAGTCAAGTGAACTCCATGGAGAATTTCATAAATTGGTCTGACATCCTAGTGCTACAACCAAAACCCACTAAAGAACTTGCCTCCTCCAAAGCCCAACTCAAGTGGTGGATCTAATATAAGATACTTTGTTTCCACTGAGCAGCAGAATTGTAGTAGAGAAAATGTCTGCATGAATCCTACAGAGTTGGCAGAGAGACCATTTGTTCCAGTCCTTTCTACCCTGGGTAGCAGCCTCTAGGTCACCCTGCTGCATGAGAAAAAGGAGATAATATTTAAGAAATACTAATATTTCTTTATGCTGTAAAAAAGCATTTTGACTTACCAGGCTCTTGGGCAGCAATCCAAATGAGTTAATAGCGCCCCATGATGGCTTTATAGAACTAAAACTAGACTGAGAACTAGTAACTGATAACATGCTGTGCAGATTACTAATTCGGTGCACAGCACAAATATTTTTTAAATAGTTTTTCCTCTAGCATTTCCATCACCTAACCCAAGTATTTATTCCAGCCACAATAACTCTGAGAGAAATTTACCTACAATTATTTTCATCTCCTTTTATTTCTAGTGGTGTTGGCTAACTGACTCACTCACTCATCTGGTTTATGACAGAAAGACTGGAAGAGCCACAAAGTGGGTGTTGTACCCATAAGCTCACTAAGCTTTTTTGTGGCAAAGTGACTGATGTCCTCGAGCTTGAGCACATCTCCTTGGAAGTGGAATAACTTGATTCATCCTTGGGGAAGTCCTGAGGAGCAGGAAAAATTTTGAGCTCTCTTTAGACATGAATTATCTATTTTTTTCTTGAATATTTTGTATTTATTTTTTAGAGACTTTGTTGCCCTCAGTACAATGCCATGGCATCACAGCTCACAGCAACCTCAAACTCTTGGATTCAAGTGATTGTCTTGCCTCAGCCTCCCAGCTGGGACTACAGGGGCCCATGACAGCGGCCAGCTATTTTTAGAAATGGGGTCTCGCTCTTGCTCAGGGTGGTCTCTAACCTGTGAGCTCAGGTGATCCACCCGCCTTGGCCTCCCAGAGTGCTAGGGTTATAGGCGTGAGCCACCACGCCCAGCCAACACCAATTATCTTTACTGATAAGGAATAAAATTGTCAGGGTGGCAACAGTAAAGACGATCCATAATGTGCAATTCCTGTTAGTACACGGCTGTGTGCACGCACTGAGCCCATGAGCTTGCACATGTGGGCATGTATGCCCTCAGGTTTTAGGTAGAAGGAGAAATACAATTAGAATTCTTTCCAAATTCAGTCAGCACAAGTTATTTGGCAATCTATAAAACTAGTGTTTCCTCAGAGGAGATTGGGAGCTAAAGAATAAAATTGCAGAATTACGTAAAGACTTCCATAAGCTGTAGGTAACTGCAGAAAGATGATCCAATCCTCTTCAAAATAGTAGAAGACAAATAATCAAATCATCATTTAAATAGATTGTTAGTTTTAGGAATGTTCTGTGTAGGAAGAATATAACAGCTGCAAAAAGACCATCTATACAGGAATAGAATTGAAACTGCTGATTCCCAAGATGTTCTGTAAGACTACTGCTTTCGCTCTTTTTTCTGTGGTTACATCATTAGTTGCACATCTTACAATCTCTTTGATAAGTCCGAGGGACTATTTATCAGAGACAATTCCAGGAAGAAGACTCATTCATTGAACAGACCTCTGCCACAGGTCTACAGAGAAGTTTTTCCAGAGCAAAACAGCCATGGGGCAGTCTAAATAATCCCCCCTAACAATGAGCAGTTAACCCTTAGCCAAGAAACATCAGTACAAAAGCAGAAAACTGGGTTAGCAAAAAAGAGATCTCTGCTTCCTTCAGTGCCTCCAACAAGATATTCTGAAAGGCCATCTATTGAAATGCAATGGCATTTTCTTAAAAACTATTAAAATACAGAATAGAAATACCTGTAATAGGTAATTTGAGATAGGGTAATCTTCAGTATTTTCACAGTATTCAGGACAAAAGCTATAAGATACTAGCTCAAAATGAGTGAGCATACACTGTACAGTATCATGGATGCTCATTACAAGAAGAAATAGAGTAATTTTCTATGTAGTGGAGGGAAAAAAACAGGAATAAGAATTTAAAACCAAAAAAGAGGTGAGGCAGTAACTCCTGATTGTTTAAAGAAAAGTTCAAAAATTCTAACATAAATTTTTAAATAAGTTAAAAAATAGAACTATGGGGCTCGGTGCCTGTGGCTCAGTGAGTAGGGCACCAGCCCCGTATACCAAGGGTGGCAGGTTCAAACCCGGCCCTGGCCAAACTGCAACAAAAAAATAGCCAGGTGTTGTGCGGGCATCTGTAGTCCCAGCTACTTGGGAAGCTGAGGCAAGAGAATCACCTTAAGCCCAGGAGTTGAAGGTTGCTGTGAGCTGTGATGCCATAGCACTCTACCAAGGGCAAGATAGTGAGACTCTGTCTCTAAAAAAAAAAAAAAAAAAAAAGAACTATGAAGATGACAGCCCAAATACATGAGTACAATAGACTACTAATGTTTTTGAAAGGATTTTAATGATTTTACTTAATATCACTAAGCAAAGAAGCTGGGCATGGCAGCTCACACCTGTGATATCTTAGCACTCTAGGAGGCTGAGGCAGATGGATCCCTTGAGCTCAAGAGTTTGATACCAGCCTGAGCAAGAGGGAGACCCTTTCTCTATTATAAATAGAAAAACTAGCCAAGAGTCATGGTGCATGGGTATAGTTTCAACTACTCAGGAGGCTAAGGCACGAAGATCACCTAAGCTCAGGAGTTTGAAGTTGCTGTGAGCTATGATGTTGCTACGGCATTCTATCCAGGGCAACAGAGTGTGACTTTGTCTCAAAAAAAAGGAAGAAATTACTAAGCAAAAATGAAATAATTACAAATATAAAGTAACAAATGACGTTTTATATCTATTATGTTCTAAATTTCATAATTACTGCTGATAGAATTCATAAACATGATAGAATAGATCAATGGGTGGTTAGCCATCCTTTTCATATGAAAATTTCCAACTAAAAACTTAGTTATGTTTCCTCAGAAATGATTTTTCTTACAAAAGGATAAAATATTTTTTGTAAATAATTTCAGCCATAGGGGTGGTGCCTGTGGCTCAGTGGGTAGGGCGCCAGCCCCATATACTGAGGGTGGCAGGTTCAAACCCAGCCCTGGCCAACTGAAATAATTTCAGCTATATTTTCTGGCCAGTGTTTAACATCTCTCTTGTTA